TATATATATATATATATTATTTTATTCATTATTTGTTGACTCTGCTTGTTCTGGCTCTGCTCTATAAGATCCCAGAATGGACATAATAGACCAGAAAGGATCCAGTAAACCCAGCAGTTATCAGAGTAAATTAATGTATTTGTTAATATTTGCATCATTCATCCCACATAAGAGGAAATATATATAAATGGATACCAGGAGCTGGAAGCATCATGCAGTTAAAGTAGGAAATCCATTTATTTACTTTGATATTGTTTCATCTATTGAGCTAAAACTCTGTTTGTGTGGAGAAACACGAAGAAAACATTTCATAAGGATTTAGTGTTTGTAGATTTAAGAAGATGAAGCTGTTTGCTGTGTTTTTCTTCCTCTTCTGTGGTAAGATCATCTTCCTCTCTCCAAGCTTAGTTTCAATCAGCTGATGTTCCTTTTTTTTATTCGGTAACTTGACAATTATCTCTACAGCTGACTATCCTTTAGTTTGCTGCATTTTACAGACATTCATCTTTAGTGAAGCTTCACAACCAATGGAAGTGAAACTCAGGCCTCTGGATTCTGTAACAAATACTGGCATTGTTAGTTTACCTGAGATTTAGAAAAACTATTTTCCAATTAGATTGAAGTATTTATTTAAAGTGAAGAAGAAAACTTGTCCAAAACTTCTTATCTGTACTTGATCATTTTTTCTCCATCCATCCATCCATCTTCCTCCGCTTATCCGGGGTCGGGTCGTGGGGGTAGCAGCTTAAGAAGGGAGGCCCAGACTTCCCTCTCCCCAGCCACTTCTTCATTTTTTCTCATTGAAACAAAAGTTCTTCTTTTGGGTGTTTTTCTGCTTCCCTCATTATCAGCCTTCTCACTGGTCTTTGGAAAACCTTTTTATCAGTAAGGTGCAAATATTATTAATATCCTTATTACTACTTGTTCTTAATGTGTTTAAAGGTATAAAACATCAAGGTCAACATTAAACAGCAGTGATTTCTAGGAATGTTTGTTATTAAATGTCCACAAAAAACTATAATTGTTGGGATCTGGAGCTGTACCACCTTCCTCCAGCAGAGTGCGCCGTGGGTCTCCAAGAGCTGGAGTCTTCCAGCACACCTGTGGCGCATCTTCTCATCAAGAGACCTGCCCTATATAACCAGCTGCCAGACCTTGCTTCGACGCCGCAGTGTTGACCTAGTTCGGTTAGCGACCTGAGCCTAGAACCTGAGAATCTTTGCTGTCTCTTGAGA